AACAGGCCACAGACTGGTACCAGGCCTCGGCCCGGGGGTTGGGGACTGCAGACACAAAGGATGGCACGGATGAGTCTCAGGCCAAGGACCTAAGCAGGACCACCAGGACCCTTTCCTCTCCACAGTGCACAGAAGCTCAAGTCTGAAAGGAACTCATCCACAGTGCAGACACCCTGTGGGTGAGGACGTATCCGAGGAACCAAGTATCAACTCTGAATGCACTGGGAGGAGAACCAAGCCTGATCATTATTATGTTCTCTTTATTTCTAACAAGTCATAAGAGTGCTTTCTTAGAATAAAACAGAAAATTGACTTTTAAAAGGAAATCTGAACATTACTGGCTAACAAGTACCTAAAACCCATTTGTTCTGTTTGCCTGGCAGTTGACTTACCTGGATAGAAACTGTAGAGGCAGCTGCAGGTTGTCTTTCAGTGTCCGAAGCTGCTGAACATCACAACAGAGACTGACATTGTCAAAGAAGAATCCTGGACAATGTTCCTTTCAGGTGAGAGAGCACAGATATTGGACTAGTGCAGTTAAAATAAGGACAACATTCCTCAATGAAATAAGACAACTTCATTCATGTAATCCTTTTTAGGTATACAAGGGTAAGACACATACTGTATTTGCACAGTTCTTGCAGAATTCTTTACAGGCTATCAGATTTACTATTTATAAACTAGGGATTCACAAGAGGAGGTAGTAGGGACACTTCTAATTTCTCTCTTATTTGGAAGCTCACGCTCCTCTCTTAACAATCATTTTACCTCTTAGTTTTCTTTGCTTTTTTTTTTTTTGAATTCAACCAGAATGCTATTTACTATTTTCATTAGTCACTCCAGGGAAAGTCAAAGCCTTTAATAACTCTGATGAAATTAGAGCTCTGCTATCATGTCAACTTGATTTTCGATTACTTAAGCCTCTAAAACCAGTCTTTTCACTGTGATTTTTCCAGTTCTTTTCTAATGTCCCTGTGCATCAAGAATGGTAAAAACGACAACAGAAAGCAGAATCCTGGACACAGCTAAGACTCACAGGCTTTCAGTGGAAGACAGAGGAAACACTAAAATGAACAGGGGACAAGGAAGTCACTATAGCCACTTAGCAGCAGAGTCCATTCAACCTGATATCTAGGAACTAAAAAAAGCTAACTTCTAACATATCTTGCATAAGCTGCAAAAAGCAACATTTGAGGTACCAATGTTGGTCTCCAAATAGTAACCTGCTATTAGGAAACTTATTTTATTTTTTTGTATGAAGGGGTCAGAGGTTGTAAGGAGGGATGCTAAGTTGCCCTGTTTTTTTGTTGTTGTTGTTGAGAAAAGGTCTCACTCCATTGCCCTGGGTAGAGTGCAGTGGCATCATGGCAGCTCACTGCAACCTCCAACTCCTGGGCTCAAGTGGTCCTTCTGCCTTAGCCTCTCAGGTAGCTGGGACTACAGGCATGTGGCACAATGCCTGGCCAGGGTTTTTTCCCCTTTCTTTTTGGTAGAGACAGGGTCTCACTCTTGCTCAGGCTAGTCTCAAACTCCTGAGCTCAAGCAATCCTCCTGCCTCAGCCCCCCAGAATGCTAGAATTACAGGTGTGAGCCACTGCACCCGGGCTGGGAAACTTGATGAGAGGTACCAAGTCAGCCTCCCAAAAATTAAGCCTCTGGAGTTATGTTGTTATCTTCTCTACCACTGTGTGCTACAGGTTAGAGTCTGGGATAAGGTTTAAGCCTATTAGTCTCACCTCCACCTCTACCTTGCAATAACATCTAAGGCATAATTACAGAGGCTCTTGTGATCAGGATTTTGTTCTGCCAACGCTCAAGATAATGAACTTACCTGCAGTAAGTCATACCCATCCTTCGGTAATGGTTTTGGTGGGCCAGAATATTTGCAATTGTACCTCTTATCCCCAGATGCAATTCCACATTCTCCATACCAAACACAGGACTGTGAAAACACCTAGAGAAAGTCAACATAAAACTCGGTGTCACCAGAGTCTCAACAGTAAAACAAATTTCAACAACAAAAATCACCCATTCAAATACAACAGGACCTTCCAATGTTACCTGCAAAATGAAGTAACAGTAAGAGGCACTTGTTAGTTTAACATTTTGAAAAATATTAATTAAAATAGACCAAATAGATAGCAGAGTTGTGCAGCAGAAGCATGCTGGTCCCATAAAATAGACCAAATGCCTATTTATCAAGTCAGTGAAGCAGCTAATGGAAATTACTTATTTACATAATTTC